CCGGAAGCGGGCCAGCGCTTGGGATTTTTTTATTTCCTTCAGACGCACTATTTCAGTGTCTACATTTTTTTCGGAGAAGTTCGATCCTTCCACCCCCTTTGAAGTACTGCGTATATGAAAGCCATATATGGAACGCACGATATAGCAGACTGACAGAGATAGGTTGAGTACTGTCTTCCGGTCCGTATGCTTAAATCATCTCCCATCGTAACATGAGGAGGATTTCCTAGGGGAAATATACACAGTTCGGTCAACGAAGGGCTCAAGCCCTTCCTCTCGACATGGGGTCCCCTGCAAAACCCCAGCGGTAATACAAGCTGCCTCCACTGCCCTGGTCCCACTGTAGTGCGGCACACTACGGTGTAGTTACTGTATTGTTTGTCACAGGGAGGTTGCAGCATTAGGTAGAAACACCAACTTGAGAGGTAATGCGTTGCCTTACGGTTTGAGCCGCGAACAGTCCGCTAGAACGAGTAACCGAATAGCAAAGCACAGCGGGATTCACATGGCTGCAAAAAAGGGTGCCGGCCACTCGGCGACGACGCGGTGGACTTTCTGCATCACGGTGTCTGCGTAGGATGCATTGCTGAGTGCAAAGGTACGGGAAGCGTCATGGGCCTGCGAGCCCTGAGGTAGTGAGCCCCAGGTCGAAATGTTTCATGCGCGTATTGCGTTGGGCGAGTCCTGAGGGTGATGGGAAAGCCAGGCAAAGGGCACGAGACATTTGTCCAGAGTTCGGTGGCGTCGATAGCCCGTGACGTGGACGGCTGTGGCGGGCACGGCGTCCCCCGCTTGGGAGATGAGTGACGGTGGAGAACCCCCCGTAAAAGTGAAGTGGAACTAGTTCAGCGGCATTGTTCTCAACCGCACGGGGAGAACAGCATCCCTGGACACACTCTCTTCGGTCTTCCCCCTGCTGCAACACGCTCAGCACGGCAGAGAGAGCGCCTTTCCTGAGGCATGGGGAGTAAGATTCCCCACAGCTAAAGCAGTGGTAGCTGCATCCTCCTCGAGCGACTTTGTCTAGATTTATTTCATGTCGACTACAGTAAATTAANAGCAGTGGTAGCTGCATCCTCCTCGAGCGACTTTGTCTAGATTTATTTCATGTCGACTACAGTAAATTAAGCCGGATGTAGCTGCTACTGCAGCAGCAGCTCCTCGGCCGTTCATGCTTGTGGTTGTGTACTGGTGACGTGCTACTGTGAAGTGTTACTGTGATTCGCCTACAGCATGAGACATCCTCAGAAGATAATGCTTTCAAGAGGCTGCTCCATGCAGACGCTGAATGTTTTTTCTAACTCGTAGCTGCCGCACCCTAGGAACAGCTAGGAGGTTCTATCTAAGGAGAGATAAGCGTAACAACTTTCTATGCGCGCAAGCAGAAATAGGTAGGCTAGGTTCACGAAATTTATCGTATGTAAAATTCGGGCTTAGAAGGGAGTCCAAATCAAAGCGTACCCAGGATCCCTGAGAGATGCTTGCTCTGATATGAGTCAGTTGTTCAACAATTACCGGAGTTTCACGAGCCAACACATGAACACAGATACAGAGTCGCCCGTTCCCTGCCGCATAGGGCTTCCTTTGCAATGTAAAAAGCAGTTCTGCCGACGACGCCGGATATAAATAATGTATAGCTTATCAAACTTGCACGAGTTAAGCTAATTTATCTTGAACAATAGATCAAGTGTATCATGGCGTACTGCTCGGAGCCCACTCCAGAGCAGGCTCCTCCGCCCGCAGCCCGTACCGGTCCCACTTCGGTTCTTGCTATGCTCAGGCCATTCCCTTCCAACAGGCAATTTTAGGCTTTACTCTCCTTCGCTTCGTATGTACTTTTACATTTCTAATTGCCTGTTTGGAATTTCTGGGACGTAGTAGAGCCATACTCCAGGACTCCCCCCCCCACGAAACGCCGGCTTATCAAGCTCGCCCCGAATTCAATGGCTGTCGTTACACCGCGCATTCCTCCACCTAAACTCTCTAGAGTGTGCTTCTGGTGCACTGGCATCTGCAGAACGCGAACCCCCCCTCCACACTTCGGAAGCCGGGGACCTTCCGTCGTACTGCCCTCAGTCTGCTCACGATGGGAAGGAAAGTGCCAGAGGGCTTGGGGTTAGCGCCTGGGCCTGCACCCAGGTCTTTGGAAGCTTTGCAAGAAGCCCAAAATGACCCCTCCTTGTCTGCAGATGAAGGAGCCACACATGATTTACCCACGCTCGAGACCTTAGAGGAACAGCAATTGTATGCATCTGCGGTGCATGCTTGGGGAGAAACCGAATCTGAGTCAGTACGAGGACGCTATGGCGTTGCTTTCAAACTGTCTCTCATTTTGGCGCTCGCCCTTTGCGCGTCCTATAGTATGGGTAGCAAGGCTTGGGGAAGGGGTAGGATGCGGAGTTCCAGCATGGGTTCATTTGCACATGTAGCAGATGACGAAACGAATTTTGGTTTAGGCAGCTCGACAGGAAGGGGAAGAAGTATGCGGGAGCTTGAAGAGGACATGCACAAGGCGCTTGTGGAGTTTATGCGAAGACCAGAACGCCATGAATCTCTGCCGATGGAAATAGGTGAGGGGGGCTTGCAAAAGCAGGCAGAAGATGTACCAAGATTCTCTGTAAGCGCCTCTCCTGGTAGCGCGACAGTACATTTCGTGGATGGTGTATTGGCCTAATGTTGCTGTGGTTTTGCCTTCTGCTGCAGTCTCCGGCGTTGCTCCAGGGAAAGACGATGCAGCGGCGTGTTTGGCCCGTGCAGTGGATGCCCTGCAAAATGCATCTGCCTCTACACAACGAGAGGTCGCTGACAAATACCTCGCGGAATTATTAAGGGATTCCGANGAGGATACCGATCCGGAGCTGGAAGAAGCTCAAAGTGCGAGAACTGCGCTTCTGGTTGCTGTTCTGGACGCCTTTACAGCCAGAGTCAAAGCCATGGAGCACCTCAGGCTAATTGAGGCAGCTGCGGCAGAAGAGGAGGCGAGATTAAAGAAGGACAAGTCGAGGGAGCGCGTAGGGCTCGCGCATTTGCTGAGGGAGGTGCAGGGAGCTCCTGAAGAAGCTGCTGAGGCAACAGCGCAGCGGGTGGTATCGGCTTCCACCTCCGTCCCGTGGCTGAAGGCCAAGCGGCTCCTCAATTATATCCAGCTTTCACGGGGAAAGCTTGTGGGGGACTCGAAGGTGGCTGCTGCGCTTTTACGTCCCCTAAACGACGGAAAGGATGCGGCCATGCGAGAGATACTCATGCCTTTTGAATCACACGCAGTATCTCTCATGCGGAAGCATACGACGTTAGAGGGACGAGAATGGGTAAGGATTAAGACAGAATTAGAAGAATACCGGCTTGTCCGGGATATGATGAAGTTCCTGGAGGCCAAGGGGCAGGGCAAAGTTTTCCTGGAAAAGGCCTCTGATTCGCTTTGCGCAATGCATCGGCTCGATAGGGCATGCAGATCCGGGGCCAGCCAACGTGAAGACTTCTGGGAGTTTCTCAGAGATCACTGGTCAGCACAAGTCCACGACAAGCTGTGCGAACTCCTCGAAGCACAGAGCCAAAAATTTGAGAAACACAAATTGGGCAGCCGGTCTTATTTGGCAAGCAGTGCTAAGAATTTCTTGAGTACGTATGCCCCAAAAGTTAAGCAAGTGGACGTGCTGCTGCTCCAAGCGGCTATAGCTCTTCTTTGAGGGGTCTTCCCCTTGTGTCCTTGCTGCGCATGCTCTGAGGTCCATGCACGGCAGGAGGGTGCCTTTGTTTTTCTGTTTTCTATGCGGTCAACAATGCAGCTGCTTGTTTCAAGCTCGTTTTCCGTACGCGACGGCGCCTCGCTGTTTGCGCTGCCGGCCACGGATGCACTCATTTGTTTTGTTTATCGTATACTTGGGGAGGTGAACCGTTGTTTGCTCAAGTCTGATCATTTACTTCAATATCAACGTGAACGCGTANTATACTTGGGGAGGTGAACCGTTGTTTGCTCAAGTCTGATCATTTACTTCAATATCAACGTGAACGCGTAAAGTTGATCACCATAGGTAACACTACCACCATAATTGTCCTTGCACTAGAGCTGCGGTGAGCTGCCCGTGGCACAAAGTAAGAATTCCCTTCCCAAGCGAAGAATGCCCAGGCAGGTGCCCGGCGCTGGAGACATATAGATAGACTGCAGCTTGTTGCAGGTAGTCCTGACTCTCTGTGCAGCTGTTCACAGCTACCCATATTTGCACTGAGAATCAAGACAGCAACCGGCCAGACGGTTCCGTGCGGGATTCGCCCCACCTACAACGGAAACGTCAACCGCTTCATTCGACTATCACTAGGGAGACTATACAGCGTATACTTCGGGACAAATGAAACGTCACGGCAAGCAGGTGACGAACTCAAGTTCTACAGTCGCCCGGTAGTACAGCGACGTGGGGTGTGCGTGCACTCTCAGACCAAGGAAATGAACCCGTCAATTTTATCAGCCGCTGTGGAGAGATTTCAGATATAATGTAAGGGCACGAAAAGTAAGCATTCAACCGAATAGCCATACAGTGAAGCAAGCTAGGTGCACGGTGGTCTCCCGCCTGGGCACCCAAAGCAGGCCAGGAGTCTCGGCAGTTCATAAATGTCCATAGAGGACGAATCTTGTGGCACCCTAGCAATACAGACTGATTTATCTTTGTTTGCTTGCCATTTGCACTTTAATTAGGCAAGCATGCAAAGATTAAAGCGCTGGCCCCACCGTTGCAAGCCCACCGGCGAAGCCACTACAGAGAGCCTTCCTGCCTTCCGCTGCCGCATGCAGTCGCGAACAGCTGCATCAAATATGTGCTGCAACATCGAATCCACAGCAGCTGCAGCAAATATCTGCTGCAGCATACACCCCGCATCGGCTGCAGCAAATATATGCTGCATTCACAAACACCAGTCTCCCTTTGTTCTCGCAATTTTGTCCTCTTCCTGTGTTCTGGTCTCCACTCATTGTCGTGACCTTCGTTCCACTCGGTCCACCCATGTTTTAAACTACTCTCTACGCAGTTAGTCTATGCAGGTTACGACAGTTGTAGGCTAATTTCGAGGGTCCGCATTACGGCATCTCAAGTGTGTAGGCAGGGGTAAGTGAACGCTCCTGTTATTAGGAGGTGACTGCGGAGCGTTGTCTTTTGTGCAGCTAGGAAGGTTCCTCAGTGAAGACAACTTCCAGAAATCCACGTGATAAAGTGGCTTTCATACATTAAACACCACGAGAACGGTTAATTAAAAGCCTACGCGATAGGCCGAACTGGAATCACGCTGTGGGAATGTTCAAAGTCCCTTCCTTCACATTTTTCAGTTTGCTCTGTTTTCGTTCTGTCTCGATTCCAGTTCCATGGGGTATTCTCCTTTGAACTGCGTCTTTATGGCTTAGTTTGCTTTGGGGTGCGACGTAGAAGCTGCGGGACCTTTAACTTCTACAACCAATGGAAATGATTTGCATTTTCTTGAAACTTTCACAGACAAAGCCATCACAAAGGGAAGAAATGAGTCGTTTTCAACTCTTTGGAACCTTTCGCAACCAGCTGATGAGCAGGAAGCATGTACGCACCAAATAAAAGCTAGTAATTTAGTGTTAAAGTGAGAGAGCTCGCTGTACACGGTCTTCATAAACGGCGCGAAAGGCTGTGCATATGCATAAATGCTAGCCACTTTTACCCGAAGTATTTTGCTTTCATTTCAACTCCCGACAGCCCTGTGTTTAGGTTCGAGGACCTTCGGTTAACTAGAAGATGAAAAGACGCAACTCGCAATTGAAGATCTCTACCAACGGCAGTTGAGACGAAGCACAGTCTGAAAATGTGAAAAGAATGGGCTTGAGCGTCACCACGGCGTGCCTCCAGTTCTGTGTACAGCCGAACTTGGTATTTACTCTTTCGAACTGATCACGACAACGGCGCATCGGAGTGCAGAGAAGCCCAGCAATCTTCCGATTCGCTCGGGCGTCAATTTACCTTGTTCAAACAATCAACGAGCTGAAACGATAAGACTCGAAACTAGTGTAGGAATGTCGTGGTCTGCTGCAGAATCAATGCATGGAATGACTGTAGCATGGCCCGTCTGAAGTTGGGAGATGCACTGCTGCTTGCGAGCAGGCTGCCCTCATGGGGCTTAGCACTGTTTAACAATTGTACGCGGTTTTAGCACGTGCACAAACGGGGGCTTTGCTGTGCTTACATGTGCGTTTTTCCTGTAGCAACTACCGCAGTAAAGTGCACATGTCAGCGGCGTCTCCTGCGCATCAACCCCAGGGCCTCTGGCCGCTGTGCCTGCAGACTAGCGTAGAGGTCGCCTGCATTCGGGGAACTCTAATCTTACGTATTTGGCTCCACCGCTAATACTACACGCGTTTCCACCTCAGCTGGATGGAATGTCGCAGTACAACATCTGCCCCGCTGTCGACTCGCTTGCACGCCATCCGCATGGACAAGAGTGGCGCACAGGAAACCTTCCCCAGAGCAAATATGGATTGCTGTCGGTAGCCTACCAAACTAATCATGCCTACGTACAGCAAGCTGCAACGATCAGGCATGTAGTGCTGGGCATCTGCCCGAGCACTCCTCGCACCCTCGTGTATGGAATTATGAGGCAGCGCCGCCTGCAAATGATGCAGCTCACCGCAAGTCGAATTCAATGCACGAAGAACCCTTCTCGTGTGGGCTGTTCTACTGTACGCGGTCACTTCAAGATTAAAAAGGGTGCTCGGGCGCGAGCAAGCCAAACATCGTCTTAAATAAACAATACGACAAACAGCACAAGTGAGTGCATCCGTTACCGACAGTCCACACAGTCAAGCACTGTCGCAAATGGCGAATAAGCTGCATTGAGCAGCTGCACTGCTAGTTGAAGTGAAAACAAGAACATGACGTCCCTCTTCCCAACTTCAATGAGACTATGCAGCGCTACGGGCAAACAAAATTGTCCAGCTTCAAAGGAGAGCTAGTGCTGCTTGGAGCAGCAGTAAGTCCACCTGCTTTTCTTTTGAGGCACTTCCGCGTAACGAGGTAGCCGTCATTAAGGTGTACGTCCGGCTGACATATTCGGATTCCTGGAATATTTTGTCCTGTTTGCCGATGAGTTCGCACAAAGTGTCGTGAGCCTTCGGGGACCAGTGATTTTTGAGAAAATGCCAGAAGTCTTCTCGCTGGCTGGCCCCAAATCTGCATGCCATATCCATTCGATACATTCTGAAGAGCAACTCGGAAGCTTTTCTCAGGGAATCTTTGCCCTGTCCATCTGCTTCCATGGACTTCATCATATCCCTAAGTAACTTGTGTTGATGTTCTTGTAGGTGAACCATTTGCTCGTCTCGGTCACTCAACGTGGTCTCCCCCTGCACTGACGCTACACCAACTGATTCTAAAGATTCGAGTTCCGTTCCCGGGGTAAAATAGTCTCCTGCTTGCAGAGCACCGAAGAGGGCAACAGCCACATTCAAGTCCCCCGCAAGCTTTTCCCTTGAATGCTGGATAATGTTGACGAGCCGCTGCGCTTTGAACGCCGGAACGGAGGCGGAAACCGATTCCACCTGCTGCGCTGCTGCCTCAGCAGCCCCTTCAGGGACCCCCTGCACCTTCCTCAGCAACTGCGCGAGTCCTACTCTCTCCCTGGGTATTTGGTCCTCCAACCTCGCCTCCTCGTCTTCCGCATCTTCCTTCACTTGCTTGAGGTGCTCTATGGCTTTCACCCTGGCTGTAAAGGCGTCCAGAACAGCCACCCGAAGGGCAGTTCTCGCGCTTTGAACTTCCTCCTTCTCCGGATTGGTATCTTCCTCGGAGGGTGCCGCTGCCTGCACTTCTCCGACCATACCTTGCAGGAGAAGGTCGAAGTCACGGTGTCCCAAATCCCAAAATAGTTGGTCGAGGTACTTGTCAGCGAGCTGTCGTTGTGTAGGGGCAGAGGCGCTGTGCACAGCATCCAATGCACGGGCCAAAGACGCCGCCACAGCATCGTCTTTCCTCGGAACAACGCCGGAAACTGCAGCAGAAGGCAAGACCACAACAGCACTACGACAATTGCACCCTCGACAGGAATAGTGTCGCTCTAGCGGGACCTCCGTATATCTCTTCCCTGCTCTTGCAGGTCCAACTCACCTATATCATTCAGCGGAGGTTCGAGGCCTTCCGGTCTCCGTCTAAATTCCACAAGCGCCTCCAACAGGTCCTCCGAAAGCTCATCAAGATCCTCCGTTTCCGACTCCTCTTGTGTCGGGCTGTCTACTGCAAAGGTCGTCGACTGCTCTTTGTCCTGTGGTGCTTGCACAGGTGGTGCCACGCCCGCACTAATCCTCCTGCTTCTGCCCCAAGCCATGCTACCCACACTAACGGACGCGCACATGGTGAGCACCAAGATGAGCAACGCACTAAATGCAACGCTATAGCGTCGTCCTCCGGACTCAGATTGAGGTGTTCCCCCAGGATGCACCACAGGCACGTTGACCTGCTGTTCCGCTGTGGTCTCGAGAGTCGACGAATCACCCGTGCCTCCAGCCCGTGCAACCGCAGAATGGCCATGATTCTGGGTTTCATCCAAAGAGTTGGCTTCGCTCCCACCCGCTAGCCCCAAGCCCTCTGGCGCTTTCCTTCCCATCGGGAAAATGGAGGGCGGCGGAAGGTCTGCAGTTCCCTAGACTTGGGAGGGGAGTTCAGATTCTGCAGCTATTAGTGCGTCAAAAGCACACTCTAGAGAGTTTAGTTGCAGGTACCCACGGTGTAACGAAAGCCTGTGGATTCGGCGCGTGTTTGAGAGTCGGTGTTTCGTTGATGGGGCAGATCTCGCGTATGGCTCCACCTCGTTCCAGAAACTCAAAGCAAACAATTATACAATGTAAAAGGATATGGAAAGGGGAGTATATTAAAGCCTAAACGTGTCTTTTCTGAGGGAATGGCCTGTCCATAGCAAAAAGGGAAGTGGGACCGGTACGGGCTGCGAGCGGAGCAGAGTCCTGGTAAGCGGGCTCTGAGCACTGTACGCTCTGATACCCTTGACTTATTGTTCGAGACAGATTAACCTAACTTGCGCAAAACCAACAAGGTGTAAATTATTTGTATCCGGCGTCTTCGGCACAGTCGCTTTTTACGCTACACAAGAGGCGTAGTTACAGGGAGCCTANTATTTGTATCCGGCGTCTTCGGCACAGTCGCTTTTTACGCTACACAAGAGGCGTAGTTACAGGGAGCCTAATGCGCCTGACGGTGTTAGAGGTTCGAGCCTCTAGCCGAGTTCACGAGTTGCCCCGTGAACTTCAAGTAAGCGTTGAAAAATTGACCCCTATTTCAGAGCAAGCATCGTAGATGGGCTTTGAGTCTTTTCGTATATGGGGTACAAAAGCATCCCTTGTTCAGCAACTGCACATAGCTACTCTGACGAAGTTTGTTGTTATGCTGTGTTGGGCTGTCTGTACGTCCAATATATGCAAACTGCTTACATATGCACAGTCGTTTTCCGCTAACTCGCTTTCGTCTTTTCCCTCTTGGTCCCTACATCTGTCTTTTCAAAGACGCCGCTCTTCGACTGACGAGACTCCCTAAACCCTCGACACAGTCGCAGCGACAATGCGGCAGGAATGTGAGACAGCAGCAACAGGAACAGCAACTGGGTCGGAAACAACAGGATAAGCAGTGCCAGGATCAGTAGCAACCGAGCGGGGGGAGGAACTTCTGGCTCCGTTGTTGCTGCAGGAACAGTGGAGCCAAAGGACGCCGCCAAAGTTGCATAGGCCGCAGATCAGGAACATACCGTGACAGGCCCCGATGCAGCTTCTGTGCTGCTGTCTAATATGCTTTGTCGGCTTCTTTGGTTCCAATACTGCAGCAACAACGGGGTCAGCACTTCCTCCGGGTGCTCGGTTGCTGCTGATCCTGGCGCTGCTTATCTTGTTGTTGCTGACCCTGTTGCTGATCCTGTTGTTGTTGTCTTACATTCCAGCCACATGGTCGGTGCGACTTCCAAGAGGGAGGTTTTAGGGCTCCTCATAAATCAAAGAGATCTTGAGCGGCGTTTTTGGAAAGACAGACTCAGGAACCAAGAGGGAAAAGATGAAAGCGACTTAGCGGAGAACGATTGTGCATCTCTAAGCAGATCGCCTATGTTGAACGTACAGGCAACCCAACACAGCATAGCAACAGACTTCCTCTCTCGTAGGAGCTACGTGCAGTCTGTATAGTGGTCTGCCTGCAGTTAGCACAGGANGCAACAGACTTCCTCTCTCGTAGGAGCTACGTGCAGTCTGTATAGTGGTCTGCCTGCAGTTAGCACAGGAACATCCACTTGGCATCGGTAGGTTGCCTCCAAGTGAATACAAACGCTCCATAAGTGTATAGAGATATAAAAACATGAAGTAAATGGAGCTTTGTTGAAAATTCCTTGTGCGCACACGTGAGGCTGGCTTGCATCGCCAGCTGAAACGAGGAACTGCAACTCCAGTTCGGCTGCATCCTCGCCGGCCACGCAAGGGCCCTGATCTGAACGCCCAGGATGCCTGGGGAGAGGGGAGGAAGGTCAGCTGCTTTGGTAAAAGTCTTACTTCAAGTCTTTGCATTTATTTCAGCTCACTTTAGTCCCTGAATACTGCGGGAAAACACGCTGTACACGGTCTCTGATCAGCAAGTGCATTTGTACCCCACAAAAAAAAAATAATTCAGCCCCCCCTCTGCGATGCTTGCTCTGAAATAGGAGTCAACTGCTCAGTGCTTTCATGAGTTTCAGGAGCCAACACGCGAACTCAGGTACAGGCTCGAACATCCTACACCGTCTGGCACGCCAGGCATCCTTTGCAATGTAAACAGTGATCCTGTGGAGGATGCCGGATATAAAGACTGTACAGCTCATTGGATTTGCACGACATAACTTAATATGTCTCGAATAATAGACCAATGGTAACGTAACGAACAATGTTCTGACCTCATTCCACAGCAGACTGCTC